ATATATATATATATAATCGTCGGGTTGCGATCAAGCTTGGTGTCAACGCAACAATAACAATAACGTAACATGGGGATTGCGTTGGAGAACATAGGACATTAAAAGGGGGTCCGAATGGTTGTTCAACTACTCCGTTTTGAAATATGATCTTATAATCAACCCGTGATAGTAGTTAGAATCCCCCAGGTTCAACGCAGTGCCATGGCTCTTGTGGTGTTAGCACACAGCTGCAGGTCGCAGATTTACACTAACGGTTCTTTTAACGGTTCTTAGGATTATTGGAGTTTCTTAAACAAACTACTTGATTCATGTCCGAAAAAGAAGCCAATGATGATCAGTTAAAGCCAAAGCACATGAAGAGGCAATATTAAACATTGTTCGAGGGTTTAACTGTGGTTATCGAAAATGTCTACACAAACCTTCGCATATGGAAAACACGATAATGTAATCAGATAGAGAACGTAGCGGATAAGTTAGCCTCGTGAATGATCGCTAATTTGGACCAATGTCGCAAGAAACATGTATTTTGAGATGTAACCAATATTCTTTTAGTTGATAAAAATCAGTATCATTCTGTGACCGACAAGAAACTACCACGTCAGATTTATTTCATCAAACCTGGTGCCGTACCAGGTAACTTCGACATTAGAGGATCTCGAGAATTGCTGCAACATAATTCAGCTTGTTAGATAACGATCAGTATGTTTTACCATTGAAAAGCCTTTAACTTGGAAATCTGGGTCACCGAGATTTTACTACCGTGCTCATACGTGGTGTGTAATGTAGATTGTTATTAAGGGCCAATTGAAAGATTAAATCGTTGGAAACTTCACACTCCATAACTTCCGATGGACAATAAGCCATGCATTTCCTTCCCAACTGAGCAACATTGAGTATAACTGGCTACAGGCAGGATTCTTTGATGTGTAAGTTATTTCGTTTTATTTCAAATAACCCCGAAAATGTTTCGCAAACTTGACATTTCTTTAGCATCTTCCGATCTGTTACGTGAATTTCTTTAGTTTTCATTT